TTTACCCAGACAAAGATGCCGTGTCCAAGGGTAAACCTAAAGATTTAAACTACCCAGATCTTCATGAATTTATTGATGACATGAATTTTTTGATTATGCTGATTGCTCAAGGGCCTGTGTAAGTACTTTCAACCAGGGCAGAAAGGTAGATATACATAATACATGTTCTGCGTATTTTAATGCTAAATTAACTGCCACCTCTTTTTTAAGTGTACCTCACAAAATTTCAATATCTAGGATAAGTAACGATATATCCTCCTTTTTTTAGTCTGCCCAGCTCCCCCAACTTTCTAACACCTGAACATGCTCATATATAGAATACTACACTAATTAAGAGAATTAAATTGATTATTTTCACTCCAAAATTGAAACAATAAGTATTAAATTATGTTTAAGTGTTGTTCTGTTTCAAATGCCATTTTATGCATTGACACACCTCCTTAGGCCCAGTCTGTCCAGACAGTATGATCACCTGCTGAATTAGCACCATCCACAGACAGCTTAACTCCTTAAGACACAGAAGTTGAATCCAATGCAATTTTACTTCACCTAATGACACTACATAGCATGTTTTTCCAGTCTTCTGAACTGTAAGAACACAATCACTTTCTTGAGCACTGTCTCTATGAATAAATAACACTGACTGGGGGTACATGAAAGAATTGTGGAGGGTCTAGCTTGGACTAAACTAATGAGCAATGAAAAGGAGGGGAGGACAGAGGAAGATATCAAACTCACATTAGTAAACAAGTTGCATTGATCCACAACTGTCACTAGATGTCAGCATACTACAGAAAACTGCTAACCTAATACAAGACATACATGAAAGTGGGGCAGAACAAGTACCGTGATCTCATTTTTTAACTCAAACTAAAACCTTTCCTGTGATGGGGAGATAGAATGTGCAGTTGTTGCTCTCTAGTTCAGTTAAGGGAACGATGTTGAGTTTTCTCAACTGGTAAGCTTTACTAAAGGTAAAACATTTATTTTGTTCCTTTGTCAAGATGATTTTAGGCAACTGTCAGAAACAACTCTTAAGAGATTCCAGGTGGCATTAGATTATGACTAGACTGGAGAATTTTCCAGTTTTCCCTACAAATTTGAAAAACCACAAAACCTCAAATACAAGAGAGCATGGCTAATAAAGTATACCAATGATCTTAGAACAGAGAAGGCTGGGACAACAAAGTCTTCTGCATGTCTGGTTTAGAAGATCAGGAAAAGCAGAAGACCTTAACTTAATAACTGAGGCATGTTGGTGATGCATAATATAGAGATCTGAACAGATCTTCCATTAGAAGTATACAAATGTTTACTTAGATAAGATTTGTCTTTAATGTAATATATTTACACATATGTGTCTGACTGCAGTAAGACCTACAGCCATCGACGTCTTAAGTTTTTGTCATCTAAGTACAAAGTCCATGAAATGCTGAATGAAATGGAAGAGCTGAAGGAGCTGAAAAATAACCCACATCGAGATTTCTACAATTGTAGAAAGGTAATATTCATAAAAGTACTTGAAAAGTGAACCCCACTGTCTAGAATATCAGAACCTTAATATAGATTTAACTCCTTAATTTGCACATAGTTGCCAACAGTCACGGATTGCCTGGGACATTCATGGAAATCAGACAGATGTCCCACTCAGAGCTTGTCCCAGGCAGAATCCCAAAAACTTGGCTTTGTCATGGACAGTGGGAGTTTGGCACTGATACAGTTAATCACAACCACTGGTATAGCTACAGGATTCCCATGAGGTCTCCTTGTCAAACTCACGCCCACTATAGGGCTCCTTCTAGTCTCCAGTCCTGGTTCTGACTCAACTGCCTGTGATTGCTGGGATTGGCTGAGGAGAGGCTGGGTGTCTACTGTGCCTTATGATGGTACTGGAGCGTCCCCTTCCACTCGACTTGTCTCTGGGATATTGAAGGATAAGGGTGGCGCGGAACAGAGCGAGACACCCAGCGTGCGGCAACACCATGTCTGCATCCCTGCCAGCCATAGTGCCCATTGCCAGAAAAGCCACATGCTGGTGAGTGCTCCTATAGAAGGCCATCTGCTGATTGTCCTGTGCCGAGTCTGACTCCTCAGTGTCACTGCACACTGCATGTACTTGGCAACTTCTGTGTGCCTGTCTCCCCAACCGTCTCTGTCCCAGTGTCACTCTTCCCTCCCAGCAGCCTCTGCTCTGACCCCCAATACATAAGTCCTGACTGCCCGGAACAGCCCAGCTCTGATCATTACCACCCTTCACCAACTCCGAAAGGGGCTGGAAAGGAGTTGAGTCTGTACTAAGGTGGGGGGGAAACAAGGAAGGATGGTCTGTACTAAGAGGGGGCCTGTATTGAGGACTATCTATAATGAGGATATGGGCTGGCAGTTTACACCACACCCATTTTTTTAGCATGGATAGGTCACACCCACTAATGAATGTTTCGCCCCTAATTAAAATTACTCCACCTACCTGAAAAAAAAGTTTCCCTAAAATTGTTTTCGGAATGCTGGCAACTATGAATTTACACTGCAATCTGTCTACACTGTGACATATAGTATGTCTTCACAAAGACGTCACTTAGCTGCTGTTGAGCTGATAACATTATGGTGACTTGGAGGCTGTTTTGTAATGTTCTAACAACCCAGATGAGATGTTTTTCTGTTTGTGGTTTGGATGTTCTGAATTCCACAAGTAGTTTTTGGTGCAGGGCCTGCATGGCTTGTGACTGATCCTACTACCAAATACTTGCCTATGCAGGTAGGGGACATCTGTAGATAAATGCAAACTGTGCAGTTTTGACCAAAGATGAAAAATGCCCTTGCTATAGGTATAGGTCATTTATGTACCTCATGAAGACTGACTTATAAACTGCCAGAAATTGCATCTCCTTGTCCTGCCTTGTTGCTAGGGCGTTGCTAAGACACACCCAGTTGTAGCTGTTCACATCTACTATCACAGGAGCTCTCAAATGCTGATCTAAGAGCTACTGCATCAGGGGAGAGAAAGTGCAGAAGAGGGGGTTTGAAACAGAGAAAGAGCTCAATTCAAGCTTGAATTTTGAATAGTGTATGGGCAGCTTTAATTAGGAACAGCAGTGTATAGTAAGACTAATAACTGATTAGCTGTTGAAAAATCAGTACATTAAAAAGGTGCACACGGAGGGAAAACCTGCTGTGCTCCTGAATGGTTGCAATTTGCAAAGATAGAAGTTTATTGATTTTAACAGTTTTCAAATACTTTTTTTCACATAATGTTGCCTGTGTAAATACAGTGAGGAACAGGAGTATTTGAACACCCTGCGATTTTGCAAGTTCTCCCACTTAGAAATCATGGAGGGGTCTGAAATTCACATTGTAGGTGCATTCCCACTCTGAGATACAGAATAAAAAAAAATTCAGGAAATCACATTGTATGATTTTTAAAGAATTTATTTGTCTTGCACTGCTGAACATAAGTATTTGAACACCTGAGAAAATCAGTGTTAATATTTGGTACAGAAGCCTTTGTTTGTAATTACAGAGGTCATACGTTTCCTGTAGTTCTTGACCAGGTTTGCACACACTGCAACAGGGATTTTGGCCCACTCCTCCACACAGATTTCCTTTAGATCTGTCAGGTTTCGGGGCTGTCACTGAGCAACACGGAGGTTCAGCTCCCTCCAAAGATGTTCTATTGGATTTAGGTCTGGAGACTGGCTAGGCTACTCCAGAACCTTGATATGCTTCTTACGGAGCCACTCCTCGGTTATCCTGGCTGTGTGCTTCGGGTCGTTGTCATGTTGGAAGACCCAGCCATGACCCATCTTCAATGCTCTGACTGAGGGAAGGAGGTTGTTGCTCAAAATCTCACAATAAATGGCCCCATTCATCCTCTCCTTAATACAGTGCAGTCCTCCTGTCCCCTTCGCAGAAAAGCACCCCAAAGCATGATGTTACCCCCCCCCATGCTTCACAGTAGGGATGGTGTTCTTGGGATGCAACTCATCCTTCTTTTTCCTCCAAACACGACGAGTGAAGTTTAGACCAAAAAGTTCTACTTTGGTCTCATCTGACCACATGACTTTCTCCCATGCCTCCTCTGGATCATCCGGATGGTCATTGGCAAACTTCAGACGGGCCTGGACATGTGATGACTTGAGCAGGGGAACCTTCCGTGCAATGCATGATTTGTAACCATGACGGCGTAGTGTTCTACTGACAGTGACCTTTGAAGCTGTGGTCCCAGCTCTCTTCATGTCATTGACCAGCTCCTCCCTTGTAGTTCTGGGTTGATTCCTCACCTTTCTTATCATCAGTGATACCCCACGAGGTGAGATCTTGCATGGAGCCCCAGTCCGAGGGAGACTGACAGTTGTCTTTAGCTTCTTCCATTTTCTAACAATTGCTCCAACAGTTTATCTATTTTCACCAAGCTGCTTGGCAATTGCCCCGTAGCCATTTCCAGCCTTGTGGAGGTCCACAATTTTGTCTCTGGTGTCTTTTGACAGCTCTTTGGTCTTGCGCATGGTAGTAGTTGGCGTCTGACTGACTGTGGGGTGGACAGGTGTCTTTAAAGAGCTCAGACAGGTGCTACTAAGTTAGAATAATGAGTGGAGTAGAGGTGGACTTTTTAAAGGCACAGTAACAGGTCTTTGAGAGCCAGAATTCTTGCTGTTTCTTAGGTGTTCAAATACTTATGTTCAGCAGTACAAGACAAATACATTCTTTAAAAATCATACAATGTGATTTCCTGAATTTTTTTTTTAAATTCTGTCTTTCAGAGTGGGAATGCACCTACAATGTGAATTTCAGACCCCTCCATCATTTCTAAGTGAGAGAACTTGCAAAATCGCAGGGTGTTCAAATACATCTGTTCATCACTGTATATATGAGCAAAGTTATATATCAACAAAGTCCTAGTGATGTATCATTTAGTAAATTGAAAACAAGGATTGCTATTATAATTCTACTGATTGTCACTTTCTTCTTATAAGGTTGACACTCACATCCATGCTGCTGCCTGCATGAACCAGAAGCACCTTCTACGTTTCATCAAGAAGTCATACAGGATAAATGCAGACCGTGTAGTGTACAATGCAAAGGGAAATCAGTTGACTTTAAAACAGGTGTTTGAAAAGTTGAACCTTCACCCCTATGACCTCACAGTAGATTCTCTAGATGTCCATGCTGTAAGTATTTATAAGCACATAATGAGCTCAGATAATTCTGTATATTTTGTAATTCAAATTTGAATGTAATTACTCTATCTATCTAATCTATCTATCTATCTATCTATCTATCTATCTATCTATCTATCTATCTATCTAATCTATCTAATCTATCTATCTCTATCTATCTATCTATCTATCTATCTATCTATCTATCTATCTATCTATCTATCTATCTATCTATCTATCTATCTAATCTATCTAATCTATCTAATCTATCTATCTATCTATCTATCTATCTATCTATCTATCTATCTATCTATCTATCTATCTATCTATCTATCTATCTAATCTATCTAATCTATCTCTAAAACTGGAGAGTGTAAAAATCTGGTGCAGCTCTGCAAAGAAACCAGTCAGCTTCTATTTTTATTGTCAAAGCTTAATTGAACAAGCTAAAGTTAGATGCTGATTGACTACCATGTGCACCAGATTTTGCACTCTCCCATTTACGTAAATCTACCCCAATGTGTATTTGTTGAGGGAATCCTTGGTTTATGGATGATGTGGAGGAAATCAACTTTTTGCTTTTTTCAAAATAAATTCTGTTCTGGGTTTTGGAGCCTGAAGGCTTTATAAAGCTTTGGCTGAGATAAAGCCTCCATTCCTAGGTCCACATTTTACCTGGTATCCAGACCTAATTACTTATCTCAGCTGTACACAGGCCTTTATATATGTGATCTGGCTGATGCTCAGGGTTCTCTCTTTCACTTTCTGTTGTGGGAGTCTGCTGCTGGGTGAAAAGGCTGAGTGATGGCAAAACACTAAAAAGTACATGCGATGCCTGTTTGTTTTGGGGAACTGAGTATGGGGCACCCTATTAGTCAGGAACTGATTTGAATCTAGTTAGTGGCTCAAATCAGCAGATGGTTGTTTTTATGCTATATACCAATATATTTCTAAATATATTGAATATGACCAAAATTGTAGCATTTCAAATATATGTGAATATATTTGAGAAGAATATTTTTAAATATATTTCAAATATATTTTCCTTCCATGTGGGCTGTCCTTGTGATGCAACAGGGTGAAAACTTGAAAGTATCATAACTTGAGAGTTGTCATAGGAACTGGTGTCTCTGATTTTTCCTCACTCCTTACTCTGAAAACTCTGAAATGCTTGATTTTTCTTCAGTTACATTCTCAATACCAATGGTTTTCAGCACAAGTAGAGGGTGGATCTCTCTAGTGGGAAAACAGACAGCAGTGAAAACCCTGATAATAACCTAATGCTTATTTTTCTCCAGGGAAGACAAACATTCCAGCGCTTTGACAAGTTTAATGCCAAATATAACCCAGTAGGTGCCAGTGAATTACGAGACTTGTATCTGAAAACAGAAAACCTAATTGATGGGGAATATTTTGCTACTATCATTAAGGTAAGAATTATTATTTTTATTACAGCGGTGCAAAATCATAGTATTGCTTATAGCAGGGGTCTTAAACTACAGCATATGTTGCGCACTACAGATTTCATCTGACATGCAGCTGATGTGTACAGTCTTTGCCCTCAACCTCAAACACCCCCCCACCCCTTCCCAAGTGCACTCTCCAGTTCAGATTTTCCTTTGCTGTGCTGTGTATTTAGTTTCTAGGACTGATGGCACCCTAGCGACCAATGACATGCATGGCTCAGCATCATTCACAGGAGGAAGGAACTTCTTCCGTTCAGACATGTTCTGCCTCCCATCTCCCACCCTGCTGCTACACAGCTACAGCCACACTGTAAACTGAATTAAATAGGTAATGGAGACTCTGATGGGGACATGTATCTGGGGGAGGAGGGGGCACTGATATAAGGCTGGACTTTGATAAGGACACTGATGCAAGGGGGAATGCTGAAGTAAGGCTGGATGCTGATGGGGACACTGATGTAAGGCTGGATGCTGATGGGGACACTGATGTAAGAAGAGACACTGATGTAAGGCTGGATACTGATGGGGACACTGATGTAAGAAGAGACACTGATGTAAGGCTGGATGCTGATGGGGACACTGATGTAAGAAGAGACACTGATGTAAGGCTGGATGCTGATGGGGACACTGATGTAAGAAGAGACACTGGTGTAAGGCTGGATGCTGATGGGGACACTGATGTAAGAAGAGACAGTGGTGTAAATCTGGATGCTGATGGGGACACTGATGTAAGAAAAGACACTGATGTAAGGCTGGATGCTGATGGGGACACTGATGTAAGAAGAGACAGTGGTGTAAGGCTGGATGCTGATGGGGACACTGATGTAAGAAGAGACACTGATGTAAGGCTGGATGCTGATGGGGACACTGATGTAAGAAGAGACAATGGTGTAAGGCTGGATGCCGATGGGAACACTGATGTAAGAAGAGACACTGATGTAAGGCTGGATGCTGATGGGGACACTGATGTAAGAAGAGACAGTGGTGTAAGGCTGGATGCCGATGGGGACACTGATGTAAGAAGAGACACTGATGTAAGGCTGGATGCTGATGGGGACACTGATGTAAGAAGAGACAGTGGTGTAAGGCTGGATGCTGATGAGGACACTGATGTAAGAAGAGACACTGATGTAAGGCTGGATGCTGATGGGGACACTGATGTAAGAAGAGACAATGGTGTAAGGCTGGATGCCGATGGGGACACTGATGTAAGAAGAGACACTGATGTCAGGCTGGATGCTGATGGGCACACTGATGTAAGAAGAGACACTGATGTAAGGCTGGATGCCGATGGGGACACTGATGTAAGAAGAGACACTGATGTAAGGCTGGATGCTGATGGGGACACTGATGTAAGAAGAGACAATGGTGTAAGGCTGGATGCCGATGGGAACACTGATGTAAGAAGAGACACTGATGTAAGGCTGGATGCTGATGGGGACACTGATAAAAGAAGAGACAGTGGTGTAAGGCTGGATGCTGATGAGGACACTGATGTAAGAAGAGACACTGGATGTAAGGCTGGATGCTGATGGGGACACTGATGTAAGAAGAGACAATGGTGTAAGGCTGGATGCCAATGGGGACACTGATGTAAGAAGAGACACTGAATGTCAGGCTGGATGCTGATGGGGCACAGTGATGTAAGAAGAGACACTGATGTAAGGCTGGATGCCGATGGGGACACTGATGTAAGAAGAGACACTGATGTAAGGCTGGATGCTGATGGGGACACTGATGTAAGAAGAGACACTGATGTAAGGCTGGATGCTGATGGGGACACTGATGTAAGAAGAGACACTGATGTAAGGCTGGATGCTGATGAGGACACTGATGTAAGAAGAGACACTAATGTAAGGCTGGATACTGATGGGGACACTGATGTAAGAAGAGACACTGATGTAAGGCTGGATGCTGATGGTGACATTGATGTAAGAAGAGACAGTGGTGTAAGGCTGGATGCTGATGGGGACACTGATGTAAGAAGAGACACTGCTGTAAGGCTGGATGCTGATGAGGACACTAATGTAAGAAATGACACTAATGTAAGGCTGGATACTGATGGGGACACTGATGTAAGAAGAGACAGCGGTGTAAGGCTGGATGCTGATGGTGACATTGATGTAAGAAGAGACAGTGGTGTAAGGCTGGATGCTGATGGGGACACTGATGTAAGAAGAGACACTGCTGTAAGGCTGGATGCTGATGGTGCCTCGATCCCACTGCTCTTATTTTGACAATAGTTTATCTTTTAGTTTGCTAGTAAATTCCATGGGGTTACTTAGGAGAAAGTTAGCTATGGGTTGAAAATAAATTGTCTCTGGCCTGCCATCTTGAATTTAAAGATATTCTGTTTTGATAATCTTCTGTAACATTTTCATATTTTTTTCATAAGTTTTTTTTTTACATCAAATTATAAATATAATAATTATATAATTTGTGTAAAGCGACCCTTTAAATGTAAAGCTGAACAAATGAATGCACTTTTTTATAAGTACATATTCTACAAGTATTTTACAAGTACATAATCCTACATATAAACATTTTCTTCCTAGGAAGTGGGATCAGATTTAGAAGATGCTAAATACCAGTATGCTGAACCCCGCCTCTCAATCTATGGACGTTCCCCAGAAGAATGGACAAAACTTGCAAGTTGGTTCAACAAGCAAAGAGTCTACTCTCCCAACATGAAGTGGATGATTCAAGTGCCAAGAATATAGTACGTATTTCTATGAAATACCAGAGTTTACTGTGTCCATATACAGCAATAAGTCTCCATCCTGGCTGCAATTGTTTCTGTTGTAGCCCTGAAGGAGGGGAGCTGTTTGTAACCCTAAAATGTATTGGCTCTTTTATTCTGTGCTATCCTGCCTACAAGGCTATTATTTTTTACTCGAATATCAGTCGTGTGGTACTAAGATTACTACCTTCACCATAGTATTCCACCCAAGATGTCCCTGGTAGATGAGAGGTGCCCAGGCAGAGCAATTGTTCTCTATTTACCAGACACAGTTAGTTGATATTGGACTATAATGATTTAAGATCCAGTTCCTTATATCCAGACCCCAGTACTAATGTGACAGCCAGGGCTAAACCTTTTGGTTTCCCTTTCTAAAGTGCATTCTTTCAATGGATTTTCCATAGTCATACCGAATATTGACAATATGCTTCAGAGATCAATTTCTACCAATCTCTTGCAGTCACAGATAGCCATAAAGACTTGTCACCCTTCTCACCCACAACCTCTAGGGGTACTTACTTCAGGGTAATTTAGTAAAGCAATGATGAGTTTCTAGATTTTAAAAATGTTTTAATCAATTTCTTGGTATAAGACATATTACATTTTATTATATAAAATAATTGTAATGTGGATAGTTATTAACCTTTCTTAATGATTAAAAGCATGCTGATATTGCTAAATTTTAGAGGCTAAAATACTGTATATATTACATATCCTTCCAAAAAACATTTGTGCTTGCATCGCTTTCTATAATGAAAATATAGATCATCTTTCTTGCAATATAACTATAAATAGGGACTGGGCTGTGGCAACACTGGGGTGGCTTGTTACGTGATGAAGATTCTACACAATGCCACATCTTATTTGTA